ACTCGTTCTGGAAACAAGAAGCCAAAGAAGCTCAATATTACAGTTATTAGAGACGAGACCGCGCCACAACAAACGAGCGGAGCCAGAGGAGATTGTGGTCCTCTCGTATGCTTGGCGTTGGAGCGTTTGACGACGGGAAGCATCAAGTATCTACCTCCCACCGATAGAGATAAAGCTGCAGTAGGCTTGTGGTTTCGGCATTATATGGCTAAATCGATATATACGAGACGCTGCCTACCTGCATCCGCGTTATAAAAATGTCCATAAACAATTGGTAAGTTTATATACTTATAAATGAAAATGTTTGGTTAAGTAATTAGAATTCAATAATTTGCGTAGAAAGTGTTGTTTGAACAAATGTTTGGTTTCTGCAGGTTAATCTCAGAAGTGAACTGCGTGAAAATGATGTCGAGCTGCAAAAGTTGATTCAATAGTTTAATTGATTGTTTTTTGATTGTTTAATTGATTTGTAAAAGTTGATTCAATTTTTGATTGTTTAATTGATTTGTAAAAGATGATTTGTAAAAGTTGATTTGTGTAATTGATGCGAACATAATTCTTATTCTTATTTGTGCTTGTTTAATTGATTGAAATGTAATGGTTGATTTTGTTGATTTCAATCTGCATTATGTTGAAGGCAAAAATGACTATCGCAATGCGAAATGAAAATCGCAATGCGAAATGAAAATCGCAACGAGAGAATCGCAATGCGAAATGAAAATCGCAATGCGGAAATGAAAATCGCAATGCGTTTATAATTTCGCATTGCGATTATCTCGTTGCGATTTTCATTTCGCATTGCGATTTTCATTTCGCATTGCGATTCTTTCGTTGCGATTTTCATTTCGCATTGCGATTTTCATTTCGCATTGCGATTTTCATTTCGTATTGCGATTTTAATTTCGCATTGCGATTATGTCTGTTCGATTTTCATTTCGCATTGCGATTTTCATTTCGCATTGCGATTCTCTCGTTGCGATTTTCATTTCGCATTGCGATTTTCATTTCGCATTGCGATTCTCACGTTGCGATTTTCATTTCCGCATTGCGATTTTCATGTTGGGATTTTCATTTCGCGTTGCGATTGTATTTTCCGTGTTGCGATAGTCAAATGCATGCCTAATAGTGATAACAACTGAATAACAAGAGTTGGTTAAGTCAAAATGGTTGGCCTGAGTCATTAATTCAACTGAAAATGTTAAAAGTTCACACATAAAATCCACATAATACAACGTTTGCATATGAGCTTTTGATGGCAACGTTTACATAATACACATAAAATGTTAAATGTTAAAACGTTTACATAATACAACTGAATAACAACGTTTACATAATACAAAGTTCACACCATATGAGCTTTGGATTTTGATGAGGATCCATATTTTGGTAGAGGAAAAGATGATTTTGATGGCACTGGTGATCCACATGTCAACCTTGTATGACCACTTTCCTTGCACCGACTACATGTCGATCTCTTCTTCTCTTCACCCTTAGACGGTATACGATCGTGACTTTTTGGTCGGCCAGGTAGCCTTCTGTCCATGGCTGGTGGCAAAACTGTTTGTAAGTCATCTGGTATGTCCCACTCAGAAGGATGTGGAATAGGGTAGACAATCTCGGCATAAGTCTGTCGATAAACTTCTGTAGTGTAGCAATCCATAGCGTATGCGCTTGAATCATCTTGGTTTAAATGAAGAGCAACTTTTATAACATGGCCACACGGATAACCAGATGTTTGCCATTTCATACAACTACACGTCTTTGCATTTAGATCGACTAGCCCATTTAAGTTATTATCCAGTACTTGAAACAAAGTGTTTGAACATGGTTCAACTCTCCATGACGTTGACTTCACAACACGTTTCGTTATCTTTTTTTCAGTCCATGGTGTAACACGATGTTCCAATGTTCCTGTAAATTTAAATAAACAATACTTAGTAAAATATATAAATATGATAAGTTACGAATTCAAAGAAATAATACCTGCATGGTTTCTTTTCTTGTAGTACCACTGTTGAATAGAGGCTCGAAAAAACTCCATTAACATAGTAATGGGTAATTTCCGGGAATGACGACTTAGAGCGTTGATTGATTCTGCACTATTAGACGTCATGAAACCATATCTTGCTCCAAGTTGATGTACTCTTGACCATCTTTCAAACCCGACATCTTCTAGTGTTTGAGCACACTGAGGCAAAACACGTCTTAAACAATTTATATGCTTATTGAAATCCACTTCCCGATAAGCTTTTACAGCCTTCCAGTATGTCCATTTGTGCTTTTTTATACCAGCAGACCTTGATTTTAGATTTCTATACAAATGAACACCACAAAGTCCATGAAACCATCTGGGAAACACCTTCTAACAGCGTTGTCAATTGAGTTTGCCCTATCGGATATGATTGTCAGATTGCTAATAGGACCTATGCAATCCCTAAGATGCCCCATAAACCATGTCCATGAATCAGAGGTTTCAGATTTGCCAACCCCGTAAGCTATTGGCAATATCCCATTGTTAGCATCCATGGCTACTGCTAATAAGTTTACTCCAAGGTATCGACCTTTCAAATGTGCTCCGTCAACTATAATAACTGGGCGCATGCAAGTAATAAACGAACGAATCTACAAAATAATATACACAAGAAATATAATCATTTAAATGTGAAATGCATGTAACTAACAAAAATGAGTCAACAAAATTATATTGATTTACTAACCGTAGCACCAATGGCGATAAACAGCAACTCAAAGCGTCCATCTCTATCTGTTTTGATATGAGTTACCGACCCAGGATTTTTCAGCTTTAAATTGTGACAATAAGCCGGCAGTTGGGCAAACGATGCTTCTGGCGACCCCCTCAACAATTCCAAGGCATAACATTTGGCTCTCCAAGCTTGAGAATATGATATACTAATCTTGAACCGAGCATTCATGTCAGTCATAATTTCATGTCCCCGATATACCCTGCCATTCAAAAACATTAACTCAGCCAGAAAACCACCCAACACCTTTTTGTTTGCCTGTCTATGGTGAGGAAAAACTTGGGTTCTTGAACATGTATGTTTATCAATAAAAGTCCTAACTTGAAACATTTTGCAATCTTTTATTCTCTTTGCAATCATACGCCACGTACAGTTTTTGTCAATCATACACCTTGTTTCGAAACGATCTTTGCTTGATTTGTTAACTTTTAGTTGATAGCCATCTTCCACACATTTCGTATATAAAGCTATCTTCAAGTCTTCCTTTGTATCAAAACAATCATCTTTCTTGATACGAAAACTTTTGTGTAACAATCAACTGCTTTCTTTATCAACTCTTCTTCCGGTATCTGAAGTAATTCTGGCATATTCCAGTTATACGCCCGTGGCATTTTCTTTTCTTCGGGGACTTTTTCTTCTTCTTTTTCTTCTTCAGGATTATATGAATTACAGAATGGATGTTCAACATGTTCATTCACAGTCGTAACTTCCTCCTCATTATCATCAACATTACATTCTTCGGCAACGGCTGTTTCATCATCAAAATTCGGGTATTGACCAATATCAATATCATTACACGCATGGTCTGTTTCTTCTTCTGAAACATCATCAAAATCCGTGTATTGACCAATATCAAAGTCCGGATATTGACCAAGACCAAATTTCGAATACTGACTAGTACTCACAATTTTTTCTGTTGGCTCATCATCGTCTAACTGGTCAATACGAAAACCGGAATTTGGTGCTGAAAGTTGATTGGGATTTGGATTAGAGAAAGGTTGTGGGTTTTGAGAAAAACTTAGTTGATTACTACCCGCTACTGACCCAACAATACTACTTCTAGGTTCAACAACATACAATGTAACATCATCTTGTGAAACACTAATGTAAGCAATGAATCGTTCAACATCTTCATTGTCGGTTAACAAATAAACTTTACCATTTCTCTGATAAGATAGCCTAAATCCACTTAGGGGCTCTAAATTCAATTTATTTGAAACACGTAGCATTAGAGTTTCATAAGTTAACTTTTGTAAAGACAATTTTAGTTGAAGATTTATGGGTAAAGGCATATATTGTAAAACACCATTAACATTATCCCATGACCCTCCAAAACACAAATCTATCCAAACATGATCAACATTAGATGATTTCATGGTTGTAACTAAACAAACGAGATGCGAAACTAAGACCTGTTGCCGGATGGGGAAGGATGTCGTTGGATATAGGAACGGATGTCGCCGGAGAGAGTGATAGATGGAGATGGAATGAGTTGCGATTTAGGGATTTAGTTTATGATTTCAGTGTTATATACCCAAAATTTCAGTGTTGTGATTTACAGATTCTCGTTGCGATTTACGGATTATCGTTGCGATTTACAGATTCTCGTTGCGATTTACGGATTATCGTTGCGATTTACGGATACGCGTTGCGATTTACGGATTATCGTTGCGATTTACGGATACGCGTTGCGATTTACGGATACGCATTGCGATTTACGGATACGCGTTGCGATTTACGGATACACGTTGCGGTTTACGGATACGCGTTGCGATTTACGGATACGCGTTGCGATATACGGATACGCATTGCGATTTACCCATACGCGTTGCGATTTACCCATACGCGTTGCGATTTACGGATACACGTTGCGATTTACGGATACGCGTTGCGATTTATGTGTTCGCGTTGCGATTTTCATATTCGCGTTGCGATTATGGAAAATCGCAATGCGAATTTGTACTATCGCATCGCGATTTTCAAGAATCGCGTTGCGATTCTGGAAACTGATTTGCGATTCTGGGGATCGCGTTGCGATTTTTATTTCGCGTTGCGATTTTGTTGGTCATTTTGGCAAATCCAAAAAAAGTTGGTTAAAATCGTATATTATAACTTTTTTTTGGTCACTGAGGCGATTTTCTCATCTAATTTTCATTTCAGACGCTTTTTGACCCGACCCGGATAAAATTGTAAACCCCGCACGCTTGTTACTTAGAGGAGAGGCTTACTGGATTTAGGTTGGAGAGTTTTTATTCCACTTCCCTTCGGCAGCCAGAGCGTACATCAATGGGGAAAAACAAGAGATCCGAGGAAAGACTCGAATCGGAACACTCACCTTCCACTGTCATCGTCACGAACTTGCCTTACTCTTTTACCAACTCTCTGGTATTTCCTTCTGGAAATTTAGCTCCACAACCATGTCTTAATAATGTTCATGTTTGTATATATAGAAATTTATGGTAGTAAAAGAGGAATATATTTTGTCCAGCTTGAAGAAACATTTAGCGATGTTGGTCCAATCAGGCGTTGCTTCATGGTTACGAAAAAGGGTACGATTTTGTTTTATTCTTTCATTATGATGTTAATAGTTGGTTCAGAAGTATACTGATATGTTCTTTATATTGTTCATAGGGTCAACTGAGCATCGTGGTTTCGCTTTTGTTCAATTGTAAGTTAATTGATGTTCAATTTTATCATTTTGTGGTGTTATTTTGTGTTGTTTTGGAACTTTAGAGCTTATGTTTGTGCTGAATCTTCTTGCTTCGTTTGGAGTTTAACTTCCTTTTTTTCGTTTTTTCTGCGTGTTTGCATCTCTTTTCGATAGTGCTGTTGCTGAAGATGCTAACTGTGCTATCGATCTGAAGAATGGTTATTCTGTTGGAGGTCGGAAAATTGGAGTTAAACATGCAATGCACCGTTCTCCATTGGAGCAACGACGGTCAAAGGCAACCCAAGGTTTTTTTTTTCAGAATAATTCTTGAATTGGATGCATATGTTATCTGTACTCTACTTACTGGCTGTCTCAGATGATGCGACTAAGTCAAAGAACGACAACGATGGTCTTACCTCAACTGTAGAAGAGCATGGTTCAGGCCAGCCGAAACTAGGTTACTAAAACTCTTGTATTAATCAGCTACGGTCATTTGTTTTTTATTCTCATTAGTGTCTTTTTTTTGTTGATGTTTGAATGCAAATATAGAGAAACCTGTGCAACCAAGAAAGCCAGCAACACTTAGTTCTGATGTAGCTGATAAAGAGAATTGTTCAGAGAAGCAGAGGTACTGAATTTGCTCGCAAATTTTGTAAATTTGGAATTAGATATGGACGTTTGAACATCATCATGGAGTTCTTCAAAGTTTCACCCATATCTTCTTTTTCCTTATAATATTAAGAACATGTTTACTTTTATGCCTGTTTAGTTTAATTCTTTTTTATCTAAATACACTTTTTGGTTTTTACTTGAAAAATATGATGTTCACTGCTTGACACATCAAGGAACGGCTTCTCTTTTCTTTTCTCTATGTTATGAAGGGTTGCTAGGACTGTTATATTTGGTGGTCTTCGTAATGCTGAGATGGCGGAAGATGTTCACCGACGTGCAAAGGAGATTGGCACTGTCTGTGCAGTAAGTTACCCTCTTCCAAAAGAAGAGCTTGAACAACATGGTAAGCAACAAGGTGTTCTTTGCTACAATTTAGTCAAATTATTCATTTTACCCCCTACAAAACCAGAAATAGGGAAAGCTCAGAAATAGAGTAATGTTAAATTTGACGAGCTCCTTGGATAATTTGATAGGGAACTGGAAAATTTCCTACTCTCTACATTGTTAGTAGGCATATTACTAGTTGAAATGGTTTATGATATAAGCAGGCTGGTTGTGACATCGGTTGTACTACACGCTTGCCATTTGTATGTGTATTGACCATTGTTGTAATGCCTCTCTGTGCATACTTTATATCCATTCGTCAAGAATCTATAATATTGCATTATCATGGTGCTTCCAATTTTTTGAGTAGTTGTACTTTGTTCAAAGTTATGACATTTGGTTTCTGAATTGAAATTGACTGATAATTCAAGTCTTTATTTGAGGATTACTTTAATTGTTGCGGAATAATTGCAAGCCATAAAATTAAAAATTCATTAGGTCTTTCACAAGATGGATGCAAAATGGACGCTTCAGCTGTGCTTTTCACAAGTGTCAAATTGGCTCATACTGCTGTGGCAATGTTGCACCAAAAAGAGATACATGGAAGCATTATTTGGGCACGCCAGCTGGGTGGTGAGGTAAAGTAACCATAGCAAAGCTGTTATGTTTTTATTTGTTTATATATAAATGATTGATTGATGATATTATTTATGTTGATCATTTTTTAGTTCATACTTTTTACTATTTATATCTGAGATATAATTATTTCTTTTTGGTACTTGTGACCTAGGGTTCTAAAACTCAAAAGTGGAAGCTAATTATCAGAAATCTTCCTTTCAAGGTTGCTTGATGCTAACAGTGTATTATGATTATCCCTATAATTGATTTTGCTGCCTGCAACCCAAAATCCTTTACTTCTAAAGTAGTTTATTCAACATTGTTGCAGGTTAAATTAAGTGAGATAAAGGACATGTTTTCAGCAGCAGGGTTTGTCTGGGATATCTTTATTCCACATAATTCTGAAACGGGGTATCTTCGCTTCATAGAAAATCATTTAAATTTGTCAATTAATTTTTTTTTTCTTTCATATTCACATAATGGTCCCCCCCTTTTCCAGGTTATCCAAGGGTTTTGCTTTTGTCAAATTCACTTCTAAACAGGACGCAGAAAATGTACTGCTTCTGGTTTATCCTTTTGTCCTAGATGTGAAGCTTTAGAGATTTTTTCTGATACATGTTTTAATTTCTTTTTCATTTTCAGGCCATTCAAAAGTTCAATGGGAATTTTTTTTGTAAAAGACCTATAGCTGTTGATTGGGCTGTTCCGAAGAAACTTTACAGTGCCAATGCTAATTCTGCTGTTGCTTCAGATGATGGTTTGTGTCTTTAACCAAGTTTTGTCTACTCATCAAAGATGTGTATCTTGTTTCTTCTGAGCCATTGGCTGTTTCACCCTGAGCTGAATGAGTGGCCTTAACCTTATGCATCAATCATCCATATCAATTATCAAATAAAGAAGCTATTTCTTATGTTTATAGTAGTCGAGAAGATAACCACATGTGATTAGAGATTTCTCGAAAAGTATTGAAATAGTGTCTTAACTTTTCTAGGAAGTTAACTGCATGCTTGCAATAAGTTTATTCTGCCATGTATGCTTTTATTACAGTTTCTTAATCAGGTAATGTATATTTCTGTTTTTGTATCACATGCAAGCAAGCGCACACACAAGCACGGTATACACAGTAGCAATATTTTATATATTTATGTTTAGCATGTAGTGATGTTCCTCGTATATATGTTATGCCTTTTGCTTCATGGCAATTGATGTGTTTTATTTCACCTCTTCTCATCTGTACTTGGCTTTTTATATGTCTTGTCATTTTCTTGATAAATTCTTTTGTAAAGTTTTTATGTTTTTACATTTAAAGTTTGCAATAGGATATCTATCTCAGTGGTATGGCTTTACAGGGCATCTCAATAAAAGAGACAAGGAAAGTGATACAGATAGTAGTAGCTTCGATATAGAAGATGAAGGTGTGGATAATGATAGTGATGATGGTATTGCTTCAAATGACTCGAGTATGTTGGAGACGGAAAGGACAACAATGGCAGTGGATTTTGATAAGGAAGTAGACATTGCAAGAAAAGTGCTGAATAACTTGGTGACATCCTCTTCTAAAGATTCTCTTCATCTCCAAGATGATGCTGTTCTGCCCAACGGGGAATACAATATGAATGTAGATGAAAACATTAAAGTGCAAGATAAGTTACCCGTTGAATCTGCAATAGAGTCAGATATGATTAAACCTGATAAATCTGGTAAAAAAATAGAAATGGATGGTGAAGATGATTTGGAGAGAACAATTTTCATAAGCAACCTTCCATTTGACATTGACAAAAAAGAAGTGAAAGAAAGGTTTTCTGCATTTGGGGAATTGCAGTCCTTTATTCCAGTCCTCCATCCAGTTACCAAGTAGTGACTCTAAATAGTTTGAAATTTACTTTCGTACCCTTTTAAATTAGTGTATACTTATTGTTCTTTTGCTCCCCTGACAGACGACCGAGAGGAACTGGTTTTCTTAAGTTTAAAACAATAGATGCTGCTGTTGCAGCAGTTTCAGCAGCAAATGCTGTATCTGGCTTGGGTATTTTTCTTAAAGGTAGGCAACTCAAAGTGTTGAAGGCTTTGGATCGAAAATCAGCACACAATAAAGAATTGGAGAAGGCCAAAGCTGATGAACATGACCAGCGTAACCTTTACTTGGCAAAGGTTGCTTTGCTTAACAATTAATTGAATTTCCATTAATTTACTGTGTTTGTAGTATAGTTTTGTCATTCTCATTTATATGTCCAAGTAGGAAGGACTTATAGTTGAGGGGACTCCAGCTGCTAAAGATGTTTCAGCCAGTGATATGGAAAAACGCAAAACGTAAGGGTTTCTTTTATTTGTTTCCCCTGATCTTAATAAGTTGAATACCGACACAAATTTCTTCTGCCTATCTGCTGCACAATGCAAATAGATGCTATTATCTTGACTGCTTAGTAGTTGAAAAATCATTGGTTTGACCAGGAATGATTTAAATGGATAGTGAAAATAAAATAGCAGTAAGCATAAAGTCGGGTAGATATTTTCTGAATGTTTCACATTTAATCTTATTATTTGAAAAAGAATGTCCGAGTATGTTGAGAAATCCTTGTCTTAGCTTTAACTTTCGAAAGCAACTTGATAAAATAGTTCTTGATGGTCCTCCTGATTCTCTTGTGAAATTTCTGGATGCCCTGCAGGTTGCATGAAAAAAAGATGACCAAGCTTCAATCTCCGAATTTCCATGTTTCAAGGACAAGAATTGTTATATATAATTTGCCAAAGTCAATGAAAGAAAATGAATTGAAGCAACTTTGTATCGATGCAGTTACCTCTCGAGCTACAAAGCAAATACCCGTAATACGACAGGTTAGATAAAGTTGTTAATCTGTTACTCTAGGTTATTTTTTATTTAATTATTTACTATAGTTGTCTGCAGATATAGTGTACTAGTTTTAGTCTTAAATCCGATATTCCTCGTGCTGTCAAGCAGATTAAGTTCTTGAAAACGGTCAAGAAGGGAAAGATTGTTGTTAAAAATCAGTCACGCGGGGTTGCCTTTGTTGAGTTTACAGAACATCAGCACGCACTTGTGGCCCTGAGGGTTCTTAACAATAATCCAGGTAATGCCCATCTTGTTATATTATCTCATTTATATGATGGCTGTAATTTAAATGCTATATTTGCCATTCCTTTATCAAAATCTTCCAAGGGGAAAAGGTTGCTCAACTATATTGTTCCTTTTCGATTTATATTGTAAAATTGACTCCGGTTGTTTGCAGAAACTTTTGGTCCTGAACATCGTCCGATAGTGGAGTTTGCCGTTGATAATGTGCAGACAATGAAGCTGAGGAAAGCAAAGTTACTAGCTCAGCGGCAAGATGGTAGTGACAATTTGAACAATGCACAGCAAAATGTAAAATCACAGTCATTTGTAGATCGTCCTAACAAATCCGGAAAACGGAAATCTAGAGACGAGTTAAGGACAGGGAAACATTCGGCGTTGAAGAAGGCTGAGATGGAAAACACAGTTTCCACTGGAGAAGGCCAAACTAGTAAGAAGCCAAAGCATAAACCTACTGGTGAAAAGCTAAAATCATCTTTGAAAGAAAACTTGGAAGGCTCCAATCAAAAGTTGAAAGGATCAAATCATAAACCCAAGGACCACAAAGCCGGCCGAAAGCTTGCTGTTGGAAGTTCCGAAAAGGTTGAAACAAATGTTAATCATACCCACAAATCAAAGTCGAAGGAGGCAGAAGCAGTTCCACAGCCGAAAGAGAGAACACAAGAAGGAAAGGCAAAGCGGGAGGAGGGAGAGACGAATTCGAAAAGAAAAAGGCCAAGAAGGAATAAAGATCCATCGGGGAGAGATGTGTTAGACAAACTTGATATGCTAATCGAACAATACAGATCTAAGTTCTCACAGCCAAAATCAGCACCCGAGGCCGAGAAACAAGGTTCTAAGAAGCTTAGAAGGTGGTTTCAAGCTTAATCCCATTAGCAGATTATATAACCAGTTTTGTAGCATATATTATCATATCCATCTTTTAGAAACAAGATGAGAATGTGCACTTTGTAGCAGTTTCATGATACTGTTGAAATATTTTCCATGTGAAAACATGTTATAGAGTTGTTTGTTCCGGAAACTGTTTTTCTCTTGAAATATATCCTCTTAAATGCCTGAAACGGCTAGGTCTTGAAAAAAGTAGCAGCTAAATAAATGTGTGCGGACAACTCAGTGAGCTGCACTTGGCCAAACCAGCTGCTCCTCATCCCTACATATTTTAGGGTTGGTAATAATTAAAAATGAATTTAAATATTTTGACGGATTCAGATATTTTAATTATCATTTTAAAAAACATTATGTATCTTCAAAATTCAAGTGGCTATGATGCTTAATGGCATGTCTATGTCTATCCCAAAAAGAAAAGAAAGATGAAGGTGACATACGCATTATGTCAAATGGGACTTGATACAGAGTAGGCCATTTCCCATTTCTACTAGATCATTGTATATGAGATTTTTACGCTTTTAGACTTTAGGGGCTGCAAATTTCCCAGCTTTTATTTTTCTTCCACATGTGTAATCCGTGGTCTCCCCATTACTTTCTCCCCAAGAATTACCTTGAATTGACTCTGCAATTTTATTTTTGAGGAAAGAACAGTTTCATTTAAATTTATAACATGATAAAAAATATATATATAAAATGTAATATCAATTACATTTGTTATAACATACTGTTATTAGAATTAACTGTTAAGGATGATCGGTCAAACTTATTATCATGTCAGGGTAAGACCAAACAAGAAATCAAGAGTAAAGGTAGAATTTATGTTTAGGGGGCATAGATTCGAATTATTAATTTGGGGATCCGGGTGTAATTTTATAATTATACTAAATTACAATGTTCACTAATTTTAAAGGATTACACATTTTTTTTGTAGAGGGGGCGAAGTCTCTGTCAGTCCATTGGCTATCATCTTTTGTCTTAAATTATTTTTGTCCTATTTTACCCTAAATTACTTTTTTGTTCTAATTTACTCTAAAAATTTTCGATACTCAATAATAAAGTATTAATTTGTTACATGTTATATTTTTATTACTCGTTTTTCTTATTTTAAGAAAATAATAGTACGGAAATACTAATTTAAGAGGTAAACTGAGATAAAAATATTTGAAGTAGAAAGTGAAACAAATGATTTTTAAAGACTAAAATGTGAATTAAATATTTTAAAAATATTTTTTTATTAATCCAAGGTAAGTATAAGGTAAATATATGTTTAATGATAATCATCAATCATTTGATGTTGAACGCTCACATTCCTAATATTCATAGTACTCGAATATGAGATTTCAAGAAATAACAACAATATCTTTACTACCGTAAACGTTTGATTCATGCATTTGAAAATATTAAAAGAAACTTAAGGGTGGGGTTAGAACTTAGAAGAATTCAAAGACAACTAAGGTTATTATGTGACCCACGTTTTCTTTGTAAAATATTTTAAAATTTATAAAAGCAATATAATGTAATAGAAGAAACAAATAAAAATTTGTTTCACTCTATATATTTATTACTTTCCTTATCTGATATTGCTTTCCAATAAAGGCATCCACAGCACGATGTTTTTATATATTTATGTTTAGCATGTAGTGGTGTTCCTCGTATGTATGCTATGCCTTTTGCTTCATGGTAATTGATGTGTTTTATTTCACCTCTTCTCATCTGTACTTGGCTTTTTACGTCTTGTCATTTTCTTGATAAATTCTTTAGTAAAGTTTTCATCTTTTACATTTAAAGTTTGCAGTAGGATATCTATCTCACTACTATTTGCAGGGCATCTCAATAAAAGAGACAAGGAAAGTGATACTGATAGTAGTGGCATCGATATGGAAGATAAAGGTGGGGATAATGATAGTGATGTTGGTATTGCTTCAAATGACTCGAGTAAGTCAGAGACGGAAAGAACAACGATGGAAGTGGGTTTTGATAAGGAAGTAGACATTGCAAGAAAAGTGCTGAATAATTTGGTGACATCCTCTTCAAAAGATTCTCTGCCTCTCCAAGATGATGCTGTTCTGCCCAACGAGGAAGACAATGTGGATGAAACTGTTGAAGTGCGCGCAAGATAAGTTACCCGTTGAATCTGCAATAGAGACAGATGTGATTGAACCTGAAAAATCTGGTAAAAAAAATAGAAACGGATGGTAAAGATGAACTGGAGAAGGCCAAAGCTGAGGAACATGACCAGCGTAACCTTTACTTCGCAAAGGTTGCTTTGCTTGACAATTAACTGAATTTCCATTAATTTAATGTGTTTGTAGTATGGTTTCATCATTCTCATTTATATGACCTAGTAGGAACTAGGAAGGACTTATAGTTGAGGGAACTCCAACTGCTAAAGATGTTTCAGCTAGTGATATGGTAAAACGCAAAATTTAAGGGTTTCTTTTATTCCCCCCCCTGATATTATAAGTCGGATACCGACACAAATTTCTTCTGCTTATCTGCTGCACAAGGCAAATGGGTGCTATCATCTTGATTTAAATGGATAGTAAAAATAAAAGAACAGTAGTCATAAAGTCTGGTAAATCTTTGGTTCTGCTGATTCTCTTGCGAAATTTCTGGATGCCCTGCAGGTTGCATGAAAGAAAGATGACCAACCTTCAATCTCCGAATTTCCATGTTTCAAGGACAAGAACCGTTATATGTAATTTGCCAAAGTCCATGACTGAATATGAATTGAAGCAACTTTGTATGGATGCAGTTACCTCACGAGCTACAAAGCAAAAACCCGTAATACGGTAGGTTAGATAAAGTTGTTAATCTGTTAATTAAGTGTTATTTTTTCCCCTTTTATTCTTTTCTGTAGTTGTCTGCATATACAGATTTACCAGTCTAGCTGTCAAGTAGATTAAGTTCTTGAAAACAGTGAAGAAGGGAAAGACCGTTAAAAACCTCTTACGCGGGGTTGCCTACGTGCCTTTGTTGAGTTTACGGAACATCAGCATGCATTTGTGGCTCTGAGGGTTCTAAACAATAATCCAGGTAACGCCCATCTTGTTATATTATCTCATTTATATGATGGCCGTATTGTCCCTTTTCGATTTATAATGTAAAATTGACGCCGGTTGTTTGCATAAACTTTTGGTCCTGAGCATCGTCCAATAGTGGAGTTTTTCGTCGATAATGTGCAGGCATTGAGCCTGAGGAAAACGAAGTTACTAGCTCTGCAGCAAGATGGTAGTGACAACTTGGACAATGCACAGAAAAATGTAAAGCCACATCCATTTTGAAGATCGTCCTAACAAATCCGGAAAACGGAAATCTGGAGACGATATGAAAGGGAAACATTTCAAGTTGAAAAAGTCTGAGATGGAAAACACAGTTGCCACTGGAGAAGGCCAAGCTAGTAAGAAGCCGAAGCATAAACCGACTTGTGAAAAGCTAAAACCATGTTTGAAGCCCAAGGACCACAAAGCTGGCCGAAAGTCTGCCGTCCGAAGTTCCGAAAAGGTTGAAACAAATGTTAATCATACCCGCAAATCAAAGTCGAAAGAGGCAGAATCAGTTTCACAGCCGCATGAGAGAACACAACAAAGAAAGGAAAAGCGGGAGGAGGGAGAGACAAATTCGAAAAGAAAAAGGCCATGAAGGAATAAAGATCAATCGGGGAGAGGTGTGGTAGACAAACTCGATAGGCTAATCGAACAATACAGATCTAAGTTTTCACAGCCCAAATCAACACCCGAGGCCGAAAAACAAGGTTCTAAGAAGTTTAGAAGGTGGTTCTCCCATTAGCCAGGTTATAAGCAGTTTTGCAGCTTATATTAATGTGCACTTTGTAGCAGTTTCATGATTTTCTGTTGCAATATTCTCTATGGTGAAAACATGTTATTGAGTTGTTTGTTCTGGAAACTGCTTTTCTCTTTGAAATATACTCTTAAATTCCTCAATTTTGAAACGGCTAGGTTTTGAAAAATATTAGCAACTAAATACATGTTTATGGACAACTCAGTGATCTGCATTAGGCCAAACCAGCTGCTCCTCATCCCTACATATTTTAGGGTTGTTAATAATTAAAATGAATTTAAACATTTTACAAATTCAGATATTTTAATTATTGTTTGGAAACATTATGTATCTTCAAACTCAATGTCATGTCCATGTCTATCCCAAAAATATAATAAAAAGAAAAGGAAGAGGACTATGACATACTCATTATGTCAAATGGGATTTAATATGAAGTAGGCCATTGCCCATTTCTACTATTATCATTGTCGATGGATTCTTTTACGCTTTTAGACTTTAGGGGCTGCAAATTTCCCAGCTTTTTTCTTCTTCCCTTTTGTGGTCTCCTTCTCCCCAAGAATGACATCGAATTGACTTTGCAATTTTATTTTTTATTTTTTTTTGGAAAGAACAGTTCCATTTAAATTTATAACATGATAAGAAAATATGAAATATAATATTAATTACATTTTTTATAATATACTGTCAAATATTATCGACCAACTTGTTATATTAGGTTATTTTACAGATCAATAATAAATAAAGATAAGGTCAAACAAGAAACCAAGAGTAAAGAGTAAATGTGATTTTTTGTTGAGAGAATAAGGAGTAAAGGTAGAGTTTATGTTTAGGGTCGTAGATTCAAATTATTAATTTGGGGATCTGGGTGTAATTTTATAATTATACTAAATTAAAATTTTCATTAATTTTAAAGGATTATAAAAAGATTACACATTTTTGGATAGGGGGCAAGGTCTCTGTCAGTCCCTTGGGCATTGGCTAATTTTTTTTATATAATTATTTTGTCCTCTTTTACCCGTTAACTAATATTTTTATTCTAATTAACTCTAAAAGTTTTCGACACTCAATAATAAAATATTACTATTAAATTTATCTCTTATTAACTTTTTAAAATATAAATATTTTAAACTGTAATTATGATTATTTTAAATATTCAAATAATTAGATTTTATAAAATATATATTTAGAAACTATTTGATTAAAGATCTTTAAAATATATTTTTTATACTTTTATCAATAATAAATTTTAAATAATAACGAGTCAAAATTAAAAAAAGATTAAAAAAGTCAATAAAAACAAATTTAATGAGATAAAGGGAGTATTAATATATTACATATTATGTTTTTATTAATTAATTTTCTTATTTTAAGAAAAATAGTACAGATTTTTTTCTTTTTTTGGATAAGTAGTTTTTGCTAATATTATCTAAGAAAGCAACACAAGCTGCTACAGACAAATACATATATAAGGAAATCACAACCTAAAGAATCCTCCAATTAATGCACAAATGCATATTAATCATTTCTTTATTGTCTATACAATGTCTATACAATGTATTACAAACTCTCTCTTTTATAAACTCAATAATATCATCAACCGAGCGTCTAACACCTCTAAACTGCCTTCAATTACATTCTGCCCAAATGCAGTATAGAAAATTCGTCCAAACCAGCCTGAGGTATTGAACAATAAACGATCTCTCCTTCAATTTATCCATAGCTCACAACAGGATGACATCCCAATGCATAAGCCTATAGGACAATCTACATACTTGCATGATATTCGACCACACCTTCCTCGTGTAAGAACAATCAGAAATTAGATGGTTCATCGACTCCATAGCATTGTCATATAAACAGCATGCATCGTTTGTTTTTATCTCACACCGAACTAATCTATCTTTAGTAGGTAACTTATCCAAAATGACCATACAAGTAATGATGGAATGCTTAGGAATATACTTAGGGATCCGTATGAGCTTTATTCCATGTCACCTTGTCTTTCTAGACCTTAATATTTTACTATATACAACTACTTTTAACAAGAGATCAATTAATTCCAACTGCAAACAAAGTTCCAACTTCGTCTCTTAGTTTCAATAATTTCCTAAAAATCCAATTGAAAAAGGCTTGTAATCGGCATGCTAGAAATCCACGTTCTTTAAAAATTATCTTTCACTCAAGTTACTTATAGATATTCCTCATTCGCAAGAATGTTTTTTACGAACAACAAACTACAAGTTTTATTCTAATACAAAGACTCTTTAAATTCAATCCCCTAAGGGTGGATTTAGAAGAATAATTTAAGATGTAAACTAAGATTAAAAAAAATTATTGAAGTAACAGGTAAACAAATGATTTTAAACCTTTTAAAAATATTAAAAGAAACTTGAGGGTGGGTTAGAAGAATTTAAAGACAGCTAAGATTATTATGTGACCCACGTTTTCTTTGTAAAATATTTTTAAATTTATAAAAAATAATATAAATTCTTCAAACGATCGATATAATTGGGAAGTGTGAGTTTTTAAATTGAGAAATAAAATAGAAAACTAATCCATTAAATGTCTTGATTTTGAAAAGGGTAAACTACACAAATGTTCACAAATGTTTGAGTATATTTTTGTTTTTTCCATTGAAGTTTTAAAAGTAACAAATTAATCACAAAAGTTATCGATTTGTAACAAATCAATCCCTCTACATTAACCACCGTTAAAGTGGGTAACGAAAAGCTTACCTGGCCCATTAATCACTTATTTGGATGGTTGACCACCACGTTGGAAAGATTGACCAACACTTCAAATGAATTAAATGTATATGACATATAGAAGAGTTAAAGGTCAAATAGAAAAAGATACATACCCGGGCCAATTTTATATGCCACCGGTGGTAGTAGCCGTACTGTTAGCAATCCAACGAAGGTCAAAAGTAGTCGGAAAATTATCAGACAAACAATCTCCGATAACCATTTCAGGAATTCCTTCTAAACTCTCGAAGAAATCATCACTCACTAGTCACTGCCGTGTCAGACAACCCCTTCATTCATAGAGGTTGTTGGAAATGAACTGTCGACGGGTTTAGACAAGGAAGGTTTGCTGGAATCACCGGCGGCGATCGTTTGTGGAGTGAAAGGCTTCTGATAGGAGCTAACAACGAGTGAAATCCGGTGTGTCGGAGCAAGGTGGTTGTGTTCACCCGTGTACGTGACTATGAAACGTTGGGTGGCAAGGATTATGTTGTGCTATCGCATAAAAATTGTGATGAGAACCGGTTTGAATGGCAGAAACATTGCGATGAGAAACTCCTTGATTAACCAAGAAACAGACCACGACACAAGTGATGTTATCTGCACTGCCTCTTTGGGATGCCTCTTGCATCAGTTTCTTTGCCGCTTGTTGAGGATCATGTATTGGCTTTACCATTGCCACAACCTCCTGATGTTAAATCCCTAACTATCCTAATCTCCCATCTCAATCGATGTGCCAAGTTCACAATATTACACTACACGTATGTCATTTATTTATTTACCTTTTAATGAAAATGAGTCTTGTGATGCTATTTAAGCTTAAATATTGTGTTATCTAACTGATGTTTGTTTCTTTGTAATGTTTTGATAGGCCTTTAGAGGTAAAGATGAAATATATGCCCAAGTGAGCCTTGACCAATGAACTCTTTAAGCTTCTCTAGTGTGATATATTTCTAAAACTCTTACTAATTTTCCACAATTTTTTATTAAAAAAATCCAATCTTCTTATGACCTTCCTATATGATGTTCTCATTCTCATGGATTTTCTTTCGACAAGGAAAATGATGTCTTTGATATTCTAGACTTCGGATCGAAGCCTAGCAACCATCCAAGTGAATTTTTCTGTAAAATTTTGACTGCAAGTGATAGAAGTACACATGGTGTTTTTTTTCAATGCCATGTAGAGCAACCAAGAAACTCTTTCCTCATTTGTGAGGTTTAGTAGGTTGACCATCAAAGCATGCTCTGACGCACTAGAATTCACTCGCTGGAAGCACCCACTAGAAGCCTTTCACTCCACAAACGATCCCTGCTGATGATTCCAACAAACCTTCCTCAGCTAGATACATCGACAATTTGTCTCCGACGACCTCCGTAGATGAAGGGATTGTGACGTTGTGGTTCAAAGTACAAAGGTGGACAAAATGGAGGATTTGGTTGAAGATGAGTTTGGGATGTCTGACAAAAGGTAGTGAGTGATGATTTCTTCGAGGGTTTAGAAGGAATTGCTGAAATGATCGTGGGAGATTGTTGGTCCGGATATTTTGATTACTTGGATGATTTCTTCGAAGGTTCAAAAGGAATTCCTTGAATTAATTTCAGTAAAAAAATAAAAATTTGTTCAAACATTAGTGACCTAGTTTACCTTTTTGAAAATTAATTTTACATCAACTTATTTATGATAGTTTCTTTCGGTTTTTATTAGGAATATATCTAAAGGTTCAGATTTTAAAATATATATATATATATATATATATATATATATATATATATATATATATATATATAGAAATCCAAACACTGAACAGTTTTCTTGGATGGAGTCAAAAACAAATTTCCCAAGTCAACATTAGTACCCCACGTTATACGGCAACACGATTAAGGGTAAGCAATCAACTCAAACTCAACAGATTTTGATATGAAATGATTTAATTGGATTAATTTTAATTTATTTTTCCTTTTTTAAAAGATTTTGATTTTAATAGGTTTGAGATAAAAAAAATTGATTCTCGATCTCAGATCATATTGTAATTATCTCTAATTTGTTTAGAGATAATTATAATAAAAATTTTCTATATATTATTATATTTTTAGTTAGGTTCTTATTTTACTTAATAAAAACAATTATCATATATATATATTTAAATAGAGTCAAATATAATTTTTTTACTTAAAATGGGTCAATTTTTGAATTGGATTAAATCTTCTTAAACTTTGATCATATTAAATAAGGTAAACTACATGAATAGTTATTAATATTGGAATAAATTTTTATTTTTCCATTGAAATTTTAAAAGTGACAAACTGATTGTTAACATGATCAATTTGTAACAATATGGTCACTCCACCATCATTCCTGTTAAATTGATGATGTGATAATGTTAATAAAAATTTTAATATTTAGTTTTATCTCTGAACTACTGCTAGTATATCAAATAAGTCATTGAACAATGATTTTATAGCTAATTTACCCTAAAAACTTTCTAATTTCTAATTTTTTTCAAATACCCCACCACGTCCACTATATTTATGTAAATCACGTTTCACTCAGCACCATCAATCTAATGTGGATGGCGTGGAGTAGTCATTTTGTTACAAATCAATAACGTTAATAATCAATTTGTTACTCTTGAAACTTAAGTGAGAAAAACGATAATTTATTTAAGTATTAGTGATCATTTTTATAATTTATTTGATTAAATATAAATAAAATATTTAATTTTCAAATCAAATTCAAATAGGTAAAAGATTTAACTGACTTTAATTCTCCATCCATAATCATACATACGAACAAAGAGGACGTTAGAGTTGTTTCAAAATGTTTGATAATGAGAGAGATTTTGTAATATAGAAGGCAAATGATTTGTGCTTAACTTCATGGTTATCCAAATGGCTTCTCTTAACATGGTAATAGGTTGCTCCCATGTTATGGCCTAACATGTCTCTCCGACCTATCATTTTGTTATGCTTATTTATATATAATATAATATTCAATTTCTATTTTTGATATAATTAAATATTTAATTATTTTAACAATATAATTATATATCTATTTTAAGTGATTAAGTATTTAACATATTTTTACAATTAAGTGTATATCTTCTTGAACCGTAAACTAAAATTTACACCATACTTTTATTATCGTACTGAATAGATAATTTAAAAAAATATCGTGTGGTAACCATTAAATTCTGAAAGGTTCCAAGAAAGCTTGCGTGGCTTTATCATAAATTATTTTCTTTCCAGAAACATATACGTGGCAACAATTCAGCGAAGCAGCTCAACTTTTGTAAAAATAGTATTGGTTGCACCGGATCCTCTCTCAGTTCTCCATACGAAAAACGTCACCGTCCACAAACGCTCCACCACTCCTCCATCTTGAAAATCTTGCAAATTTTACGTGGACCCTCATCTACCCTTCCCTTTTGCCCCTTCTTAAGTCAAGATCAACGCAGATTAAACCCCTGAGCACAACTTCAGGGTACCCAATCCAAAAACACCGAAACGTACCTTCGTCCTAAAGTAAAATTAAAAAAATAAAATTTCAATTTCTGTCGGCCCGCAATCTCTCTATTGTCCTTGTGCATGCCATTGTAGTCTGTATTGTATTTTCTCTGAAGCAATTGTCGTTTAGTTTCCTTTTGTTCTGTTCTCTCTCCTTCTTCTTCCATGGCCAAAGCTAGAGTTCCGAGGAGACCTCTAGAGTCTTACACAGTCAAACACATCAACAAGACAATTAAAGGTAAACAAAAGCAAAAGAAAAAAAGTGAGAAATTTAAGGTTTAAGGTAGGTTTGTTTTTTTCTCCCTTTTTCCCTAAAACTTGTGGTGGTGATTGGCAGCTGGGGATTGCGTGCTGATGAGACCAGCGGATCAGTCAAACCCGCAATACGTGGCAAGAATCGAGCGGATCGATGCTGACGCACGTGGTGGTAATGTGAAGGTGCTTGCCAGGTGGTACTACAGGCCGGAGGAGTCGATCGGAGGGCGGAGGCAGTTCCATGGATCTAAGGAGCTCTTTTTGTCCGATCATTACGATATGCAAAGCGCGGATACCATAGAAGGAAAGTGTACGGTCCATAGTTTCAAAAGCTATACCAGGCTTGAGGCCGTCGGAAATGATGATTTCTTCTGTCGTTTCGAATATAATTCCCGCACTGGTGCTTTCAATCCTGATCGCGTTGCTGTGTATGTCTTTTTTCTTCTTTATAAATGACTGATTTCTGAGTTCACGTGTGTTTCTTTTTTTTTCTCTCTCTCTCTCTCAAAATTTATACTTCCACGGCTTAATTGGCGTTTTTGTTAATGTATTTCTAATGATATTTTCATCCGTTAATTGCTTAATTAAGATTAGGTTAGTCAATATAAGTTGATTAATGTTGACTTGAATATTAGAAAAAAATATTGTATTTTTTATGCTTAATGTTCGATTTGATTCATGTGAATAACTAGCGCCTGGATTGCTTAAATTATGCATTTTGAAGCCTTAAGATCGAAAAATTTTAGTTGTTTCATAGCTTAATACTTTGATTAATTTATGTCCAGGAAAAATATGTTAGTTTTGCCTTGTGCTTTATTCGTATAGGGTTTACTCAGATTAACAATTTCATATGGTTTCTCATGATAACACATTATTTTTCAGTGTAATTACATTAGCATAGATTCAGTGTTCCTACTTAAAATTATTGAAATTGCGTTGATCTAAATGACAGACTTATTGGATGGAACTGGTTTGATCAAGTAAACATTTTTACTCAATTTTAAATAGTGTTTTGCAACTTTGGGTTTTAGATTATACTACTTTTTTTTACCTTTTCTAGTTTGTTACTGTAATGTGACAGTTATTGCAAGTGTGAGATGCCTTACAATCCAGATGACCTAATGGTTCAGTGTGAAGGTTGCAGTGACTGGTAAGTCAGTTGCTTGTGAAGCTAGTTGTATGAAATCTGTTATCATAGATTTTTTTCAAGGACATATAAAAGTTAAATAGAGTGGCAGATAGACTATTGTTTTAGTTGTCATTTATCAGTAGGTTTTTCTTGAAGAAGATCGGAACTGGTATTATTTAGCTGCCACTTCTGACTGGTGCATAAATGGTTAAGCAAGTTCTAAAGTTTGGCCCTGTAGTGGAATTATGATCCCTTCCTCACCTTTTCTGCTATAGAAGCAGAACGTAATGTGTGTATATATTTCAGTTTGTAGACATAAAAACATAAAAGGTGAGACAAATAGTTCTCTATCATAAGGTTATGTCAAGGTGCTGGCCCTAAGCTTGACATTGTTTTGATATAAATTGCGGTTAATCATGTTGATATAAATTGTTCGATGCATGATCTTTGCTTAGGTACAGCTTTCACTTGAATGGCTCTTGGATTTATTACATTGAATTATTGGCATTGAGTTGGTAGATTTTAAATTGAAAACCCAGATTGCATTGAAGTGGGGAAATTTGGAGTCGTTGCTGAACTCTAATTTGCGTCAGTTGATGTTCGTATTTTGGGTTATTAAGACATATACACTTTGTTGAAACATGTTGATGGACAGATTCTTGTTACATTTTTCACTTCATGTAGGTTCATAGGTTGAGCTTTGTGTTTGATCCTTGTTAGGAAATTTTAGATTTCTGGAGTATTACAAGCCAGTTCTGGAAAGACATTTTTGTCTGATTTACTTTCATATCTAATTTCAAAGGTTCATTTTTATTTTACTCGAACAAAATGCAACCGATTTATCAGGCATGCTTGCCATATTCAGCATACTACTTTTGATTCAGGTTTCATCCTGCTTGTATAGAAATGACAGCGGAGGAGGCTAAAAGACTCGACCACTTCTTTTGCGAAAGCTGTTCTTCTGAAGGTCAGAACAAATTGCAGAATTCCCATTCCACTTCCAGGCCCTCGGATACAAAGGTATTCTGGCTTCCTTGCGCTTCCATCCTTTTTCCGGTACTCCTTATCAATTATTCAGCACATGGCTTATATCTATTTTGAGATTGTAGGTGCTGTTATGGGTGCCTGTTTGTTTGTATGGTTTAAGTTTCTGTTTCAACCTTGCCGGTAGTATTACCATCTTTGTTGTCAGCTGGCATGTATTACTAATCTTGAACATCATCATTAACTCATTATATTTCAGGTGGATACAAAACGACTCCGGAGGTGAAAAAGAAAAGTACATAAAACCTAGCTTTTTTTAGTCCCGACACTCGTTTTCTCACTGTTAACCATGCAGTAGGCTTGGAGCAAGGACGGTACATGTGCATTGAAATCTATAGCCTCGTAAGTTCATAATCCTCGAGTCGACATTAACTGGTTTGAAAACATATGCCCTGTAGTTTGAGGGCCAGACAGTAGAAAGTCAACATTGTGTTTGGTTGTGTGTATTAAGATGTAGGTTTCCCTTCATATCTCTCTGGTTTATATTAGGGTTGTGGATAATCAAGAACTGTTTTTGTAAATTAAAAATGGAGCCATAGATTTTCTGGGTTTTGATAGGCATATCAAGTGCTGCTCTATTGGTTATTTGGTTGTCTTGTTCGCCTGCCTATTGCATTGTTATTCGGATTCTGAATTTTTACCAACTGAATTCATATGAAGAGGAATTCACAATTCACACAATGTAAGATTTATGATTAAATATGTTTAAGATTTCTTCTAAATTTATTAAAAAAATTATTTCGTTGTCGGAACTTTCGTGCGAGAACCGAATATCCTAATCAATTAGACTACAATTAATTTGTTAATGGCTTTGAAAATAATTATAAATATAGTTAAATAAAATTAGCCGTCAAAGTTTATTTCTTTTTTTAATGCGTTTCATTTTCGTCCTTAAAATTTGACGTCTTGAGTGATTGAATTAGATTGCTGTCCAACCATCCAATTTGATGCAAATTGCTTGGTTGGTAAGTACCAAGGGAAGGTTGCATTTGGTTTATAACACAAATCGGTTCTTGAAATTTTTTTAAGCCAATTTGAATCCTGAATTTACATATTATTATAGAAAGTTCAAGAGCCAGTGTAATTAAAATTATTAAACTCAGCAACTAATTTAATCCTAAAAATTTCTCGAGTCGATCAAACTTTTAAGTTTGAGGTCAAATTGATCCAAATAAAATTCAAGAGCTAATTTATTCGAAGTTGTCAAGCTCAAGATTAATTTGACCACAAAAATGATTATAAGGCCAATTTGACAAAAGCTGACCGTATGTCCGTATTCAAGAGCTCGCTTGTGTTTCAAGCCTTTAAATTTTAAGGTTCGGAATTTCCTCCCAGTTTTTAAGTAGTATTGTTCTCAAGTCCTTGGTATTAAAACTAGGAAAATTACATTTTGCCTCTTCGTATATTTCCAGTTTAAATATTTTTTAATATCTTGTCAGTTAATAAATTAAACTATGGTCTCTATCTTTTATTATTTTTTAAATTCGTCTTAATTCTAAAATTAAACTGATTAAATCTTCAAATAAATCGATGATTTAATATTTAGACTTCAAACTGATCCTAATATTAATGCATTTCTTTTTCATTATTAAAATTTATTTCTCGAGTTATTAAATTGAATATTTATATACGTGTATACTTAATTTAATGGTGGGTGCAAAGGAAGCGAAGATGCCAATGTGATTGGATGGTAGGAAAGAAGGAAAGGATCCTATGTCAATGCCAACACCAATAACGAAAGTTGATCAATTCATGTCTACCAAATTAAAGACAATAATATAAATAAGTTTTGATGATGTTTTCTTTATCTCCTGACAAACGATAAATTTGTAAAAATGGAAACACTGCAATGTAATTCTCATTGTGAGGTTGAGGTCTCATCAACTGGATGCCAGAATCTGTTGAAGAACCACATTGAATCAGCTTCAACTGCATATCCATCATGGTTACGATGCCAACTATAATAAGCATGAGTCCGGTTCTTGATATCGAAAATGGCGTGACCGAAGCTCGCTTCACGATATGCCGAATAGGCCGGCTGTGGCTCCGTCATGCTGCAAATACGAGAATAAACCCGAGCATTCGGCATCAAATCATTTTAACAATTATGTATGAAACAATCATATACTTGGGAGAAGACCAATCTTTACTTGGTTGCCAAGCCTTCGAGATTCCCTCCGTCGCCGATCGTAATGTATACCGGCGCGGATTGATCCCTCACAGGAGTGCATATGCCATTTACAACATTGTATGCAATGTTGGATACACGTTCCTGTAATATACATAAGTCAGTAATCAATCAACCCCAGAAAATAATAATATAGGTGAAAAGCTTACTGATCGTTCATAGGCGTGGACATGGCCGGCAAATACGACATCAACTTTGTACTGCACAAACCAAAGCTCGTACATTACTCTCATGGATTCTCCTTCCATGTAATGATAGTTGTAGCTGTTATACCATGGAGAATGCATGAGAACTATTAACCATGGTGTTTCACTCCTGTTAACTTTTGGCAGCTCAGCTTCAAGCCATTTGTACTGAGGAGTGTATTTACCTGCAGTAAAATTATTGATAAGTTACCGGATGAGTTCAGCATACACGTGTATAACTACACAGAAGATTTATATTTGATACCGTAGGCCGAATACGAAGACAAGACTATGATGTACGCCGAAGCTCTCTTTATCGAGTACCAAAAGGGAGCGGTACTGTTCGATGCCCGAAAAGGAACATGATACCGGTGAGTGTAAGGCTTAAAAGGCCTATTTTCACCCTGCAAGAGGAGCCATAGACATGTTGTTACCAAAGCACAAAGAAGTTGAAAATTCAAAATCGTCACGACACACCCGACTTATCAGCCCGTGTCGTGATGATAAAAAAAGGAATGCTTACGATTTCAGGGGCAAAGTCGATTTCGTGATTTCCTGCAGTCCATATCCATGGTTGGTATGCAACATTTCTCTCAACAAACCTTCCCCATGAATCCCATCTTACATTATCATGATTGGGATAGTTATCTGCATAAGAAAGATCTCCAACAAACAATACTGTCTGACCTTTCTGTGGATTTTGCTCATAATGAGTCAATGTGCTATTCGAATCAAAGGTCTGCCCCAGATCCCCTGCATAATGATTCCAATCTCATACATCAGCACATTAGCAATGACCATACATACATGCATACACATTAACCAAGCTTTAACGTACCAATGAGGCCAAATGTATATGGGACATTGGGACCAACTGCAGGAGGAGTTGTAAACCAGAATTTTCTCCTAGTATGATCCAAACCAACCTCATAGTAATATCTGGTGTTATACTGCAAATTGCAAAAAACATTCAACAACCAAATAAAAAGCTCAGAATCAAACATCAAATATCGAAGAATGCCGTCTACTACACAGAAACACACCGATACTACCAACTAAGAAGTTATAGTACTATATAGACCAGACTATGAATACAAATCTTACCTCTAGATTTCTGATGGTACAGTGATGAATATAACCAGAGGTGTAATTGAAGAACTTATAAGTATTGAATTTGCCTTCAGCCTTTTTCTTGTGCTTGGTGTTTTCACTCCAATAAAGAACAGCACTGGAACCTGGTTCATCCTCGGTCACCCATGAAACAATCACAGCTTTTCCATCATGATCTCCTTGTGTTATATGAACCTTAAAATGCAAACCCCAAATCCATATATAAAAAAAAACAAATCTTAAATATATATATATATATATACCAAATTCAAAAGAAAAAGAAAACCTGTTGAGGTGCATTATAGCCTGGGGGAACTCGGAAAACATCACTGTCGAGTGGCATATCCTCTGTTTTCTCCACTTTCCTAACGTAGACGCTGGTCTTTCCGCCATTACATAACACAGCTGAGTTCATAACCAAACCCAGAAGAATGGCAACAAAAGAAGAAAGAGATTTCATCTTTGATATCTTTATGTTTGTAAGCTGACACTGGTCTTGCTTTTTTATATGAATCGTTGACAATAAAACACGGCGAGAATATTCAGACTTATATACGAATATACAGATCAGATCGTATTAGAAGTCAACTCTTTGGACGCAATACGTAATTGGATGGGTGATGTGAAAACTAATTGTTTTTTTTTATAAAAATATGTACATTGAATGAGGAAAAAATAATATTATTAATATACTTTTGCATACATAAGAAGTATTAAAAGATAGTTATTCGTACATAATTGTGTACATAAATTTAATATTAGTTGCCGACCGTTGGTATTCTTTATTATCCTTTTATTTTCTTTTATTTTTTTCAATAAGTCTGTCTGTATGACACGTTTTGCTCTGTCTGTATGACACATTTTCCTATGCCTGCATAGCGCGTTTTTCGGTCGTTTAATCGTTGTTTTCATAAGTTGATTAGACATCGTCACGACTGATCAAGATGGCACTTATCTGATATATTGTTTATCTTTCTTGCTTTGGACCCTAAGATTGGATTTGAATACCCGTTATTCATTCGTGGATTGCTTTTCATGTCGCTCGAGTTTGATTTGTGGTTTGTTAGTGGTCTTTCAGTAGCTTCATCTGCTTTTGTGGTTTGTTTGTCAATACGATCAGATTTGTTTGTATATATATATCTTTGTTCGAATTTTCTTGGTTAGATTTTAATATTTTCTTGTATGATGCTTATGTGATCTTAAGTTGCTAGTTTTGTTTCAATTATTATAGGAAATTGTTCTAATTATGTGTTTAATTTACGATTATAATTGTAAATCTTTATTAATTTAGGATATTTTATATTTTGAATAAAATTAGTGATTTATCGGGGGAAAAGATAGTTATTCAAATTAAAATTGTTTTTTAAATTGAGTTGAACAATACTTTTGAAAAATTAAAATTTATAATGTTTGGCATTTTAGATAAAATTATTAAATTTGTTAAAATTAAAATAACTATATCCAATTAAATTTGTTTATTTTTTTATAGTATGAGATGATTACAATCTAGTATATGTTTATATTCTTTCTTAATCATTATTAGTGCATATACACCCCATAGATGTAATTTTAATCGATAATAATATTCTCTTTAACCATCGAAGTTAATCAAAGAGTTCTTATATGCATGATTTTTTTTAAAATAACAAAGAACAAATAATTTTTTAGATCCAAGTGTTTTTTAATTTTGGTAAAAATATTTTTTAAAAAGAAAATTTATAATTTTAATTTTTACTAAAATCTATTGTTAATCAAAATTTTAGTTTAACATAAATGTTTTGTTAGGATCTACTTACATATAGTGTAAATTTTTTAATTTTATATCTTTTTAGAATTATTGGATGAGGAAAAACTAGAGGTTGAGGTTAACTCGTTATTTTCTTTTTTAATAAGTATATTCTCATTTCCCACTGTTAGTCTCAACCTTTAATTGCCCTCATCCAACAATCCTAAAAATGTTTAAAACTAAAACAAATTACAAGTATAATTGGATTCTGCCCTAATTTTTTTTGACCGCACCACAAGCACATTTAAGTTAAGGGTAAAAGAAAAGTTTATAAATTTTAACCTTAATTCGAATATTCTATATTCTAATTTTAATGCTCAACTCAAAAATATTTATAATTTTCAAAAGTTTTAGTTAATCTTTAAAGCTTTTAATTATTTTACTGTGAATATTCATACTCTTATATATGTTGTGCTCGAATTCAGAACCTTAAAGAAAAAAATAATTTCTTAATCACTAAGATCACTTAAATTCATGTAATTGATTCATAAAGTTAGAAATGAAGTAGAGCATTTAGAAGTAAAATGGCATGTTGATAGTTTTCTTATTTTATGAAGTAGATCACTTAAATTCATGTAATTTGAATATTATACTTGGGGGTGTTTGGTTCAGGTAATCTGAGATTATCGGGGGAATGGAATATCATTCCCCCATTTGGTTGGCCAACATTTCCAGTCATCGGTAATCTTTTATTACCAACAGTGGATTTTTTTAGGTATATTACCGGAAATGTCATTACATCCATTCCCTTAGGTATTGTTGGATTACCGGCGTTTTGGACTAAAATGCCCTTTAAAATTTTTTTTCTTCAAAAATATCCTTCTTCTGTCGTTGAATAATAAAAATTCTATGAAGGTTTAATTACAAATTTATCCTTAAACTATTTTAGATTTACAAAAAAAAAAGTTTATAATTAGAATTTGATATTAAGTTCATGGGTTAAAATAAAATTTTACCATTTCATTAAACCTATTTATCTTTTCAATTTTGTAAAAAAAAAATTATATAAATTTTATGAATTTAAAATTTTTAAAGAAAATATATAAAATAATTATAGTAATATTATAGTATAATTCAACTTGTTAAAAAATAAATATATAATAAGGATAATTTAGTAAAATATACTTTCCAATAATCTTTTATTCTTTTAACCAAACACGGTAATTTTACATTCTTGCTAAACCAACCAAACACAAAATACAACATTCACAATAATCTTATTTTCTGGTAATCTTTTATTCCCATTGGTAATCTTACATTCTGTGAACCAAACGCACCATTATATGTAATCGTTTGCTAAGCATGGTACACAATTGTGGCATTCTTAATGGATAGAGCCGAAATTTGGACCATACCCCTATCTTCTATCCCAACCTTTCTTTGTTTTCGTCTTTTTGTATTTATATTAAAAAAACATTTGATATATAGTTTATGTGAATTTAATTCATCTAAATTCATTAGTTTTAATATTGTGTGTTTTATTTAAAATTTAGTAATTTAGACTTAATAATTTAAATTTTAAATGAATAAAATTGTATAAACTTTAATTCATGTATTAAAAAAATAACTCATACCCTAATACATTATTGTATAATATAAGAAAATGATAAGTCATCGTTTTATGATTATGTGTAGGGTTGTAAACGAGCTGAGTCGAGTTCGAGTATTGTTAAGCTCTACTCGAACTTGAAAAGTTTAAAATTACGCTCGACTCGACTTGAAAACTCGCAAGCTAAAAATTATTAAGCTCAGCTCGAAATCGAAATATAATATTGAAACTCGAATCAAACTCGAAAAGGCTCGAACTCACAAAAAAAAATTCAAGAGCTCGATTGAAGCTCGAGAGTCGAGACCAATTTTGAGCACGATTCAAGCTCAAACTCAAACTCGATTTTGAATCTACAAAAATCTTATATTACATTTAAAAATATAATTTTTAAAAATTTATAATTATCAATAATGTATTTTTAATAATATAATTTTAAAAAATCTAAAATTATAATATAACATTTTTTTCAAGTAGTTCGTGACCTTTTCAAGTCGAGTATTAAGTAGCTCGTTAAGAATTCGAGTCGAGTTCATTCGATTCGAGTGTTGATAAAGCTTTGATTGAATCGATCCCGAGTAGCTCGCGATCTGTCTCGTCTCATTTATAACCCTAATTATGTATTTTTGTATACAATAAAAAAGGACAAATAATTACACTAATAAAGTGATTTATATGATTAAAAGGATAATTATTATTTCTAAAATTCTCGAATTTGAGTATGATATTTATAAAATTATTTGAATGCTCATTATTAAAAAATTAAAACTTTTTCAAAAAATAATATCATATAATTACTATAGATTAATAAATAAATAATAAAAGAAAAGAAAGGGCAAATAATTAGCCTCGGCCATAACGCAACATGGCATCTTCTCCTGAGTGGGGCTTTCTCACTCCATTAAACTAAATTATTCATATATATTAAAAAATAGAACCAACATATTATAATACCATTGACAAAAAAAAACATATTATAACAATACCAAATAGAAAAATTAAAAAAATGTTTTCTGATCGGAAAACAATGAAAAGTAACATGAATTTAGCCTCGTATTCTATATCTTGTCTTTAGTTCGTTTTACATTACCGATAAAAACGTTCTCATTTTATAAATAAATTTAAAATATTATCACAATTTTTTTTATTATTATTATTATTTAGAAGTGATAAGGATATAATTATAAATAAAATCATAATTACAATCAATTATAATTGAAATACTCAAATTATTCATTTATTATAACATACAATTATACTATTAATTAATATATTCTAAAATTAGATCAAAATAAATCTATATAAGATTCATATATCATGATATTTGAATTAAAAAATAAAATATATCTAAAAAATCGAAGATTTAAATAATAGATATTGATCTATTTGACATCACGTGTATTGTTTATAAATATAATTTTAAAAGATTATAAAATTTTAATTTTAAACCAATACCCAAAAACTTAGTCTCCACAATGTTGATTTTGTTGTAATTCTAAAACTTAGAAGGGATTTTTGGTATTTAACGCTTGTACGTTCTATTGTTTTGACCGTATCCTCTTTTTAATAAAATTGATTTTCAGTTTTTTAAGAAAATTGAATTTGATCTTAATATTTTAAAAGGAGTATAATTGTTAATTTCTTTTTGTATAGATACAAACTATAACATCAATTTTTAACGTTGTTTGCATAGAATCTCACCTAACAATCTATGTATATTTTATGAATTATATCACACATGAATCAACGGCAGGAGTATTGGGATATGATGACATTTTTTTAGAATTTCAAATTTTCATATAATTTAATTATTTTCTATTGATAATCTAATTTCACATTCTTTAAAATTGTATAATTTTATACCCAAAATTTTTAAAATTTACATCTCTAACATAAAATCTAATATTCGTCGCTTTTGTAATACATTATATGTTGTCTGAAAATCATTAAAAATTTTAATATTTTACATACATCTTTTTATAAAAACAACTTACTTTTTTTAAAATGTTAAAATTTAAATTTTATTAAAAATAAAAATCAGTTAAATAAAATAATATATAAATATTACTCCTAAGAGCTAAATTTATTTCATGATAAATTTAAAAAAACAAATCCCACATTTCCAGAGTAG